GGCAACTCTTTTTTTTTCCGGAAGTTAAAAATTTTAAAAGGAAAATCCGGATTTTTAAAGTACTATTTCCAGCCCTGTAGATGATCATCCATTTTTTGTGATACCATCAATCTAATCATGTGACTTGTTGTGAGCCAAATAAAATTTTTTTTTTGAAAGGAGATTTTTATTCTGCAAGATAATGCAAATATTTACATTATTTCTTTTCCGGAATTTTTTCGGGATATGAATGATATTAATACACAATGAATTGGAGTAACCATTCAAATGATGAATTACGGATTATTGTGAGGCTAACAATCAGGGATAGATCTCCCCTTGAATTTTTTAACTTTATAAAAAAAAAAAATTGAATTCCTTTTTTTAAAGTTTCTTCAAAGTAAAAATAGAATAATAAAAAATTATATATATATTATCCAATAGATTTATTTTATCTTCCGTCAAAAATCTCAAAAGATTTTGATTTTTATTGAAAGAAATGACCACACTTATTATGGATACGAGAAAAATAATAATAGCATTGACAAAAAAGGAATGAAGATCAAATAATAATAACAGAATGTAAAATGACAGAAAGAAGTTTTATTCAATATTTTAAACTTTAAAATAACATAATTTCAAGAGAATTTGAAATAATATTTTTAAACGTGGTAGTAGTAGTAGTACTACAATAACCATAAATTATTATTCCATTCCCACCTTGAATTATTGTCAAGACAAAAATATGATAACAAGTTTGATACGAGAAGTTGAAGGTTTTTTGCTGCATATAATCACACCCATCCATGTACCTCTTTTTCTTCATACGAATCGGTTTTTATTTTCTTGTGAGCTCATTTTGTATACTAATATAATAATTCCTTTATTCATTCAGTCAATCCATGAAATGGAAATTGTCTCAATTATTACTCCATTTCGGCATTTCTCTTGCTTTTCGCCCGCATCTTAACCTCATCTGCTGATTTCTGCAGTTTCCATTTCCTACACTTTTTTGTTTTACGTAAATGTCGATTGATGGCTCAATATTTGATACAACGAAAAACTTTTGCAAATGTGGATGGCATTAAAAGAGGAGGATCGTGCAAATAATATAACTGCCGAGGTAAGTAAAGATATAGCAATAATGCAGAAGCAATTTTAACTGATGCCAAATGTGACACTTTTGAAGAAAAAATATAGAAAAAAAAAAGTTACATTGTAATTATTTTTAATAAAAAATTATTGAACAAAGCTTGCAGATGAACTTTTAACGAAATGGGTCACCATTTACAGCACTTTATTATTATTATAGGAAATTATAAATAAAAAAAATAATTATATTTCTGTCTGTCTATATATAAATATCATTGATAAAAAATAACATTTTTTTCTTGGATTATGTCCTGCCAAGATAACAATAAGATTTATTAACAAGGCAACTGGGTTATGTTGTGTATTATGTTGTACCAGGACTTTTATTAAATGTGGCAAAAAAACGAAAAATTTTTTATTTTTAATTTACTAATTAAATAAATGTATCCGACCCCCGACAGCCATTATTATCCATTATTAGCTCTTAAATCTCTTAAATTGTCGTTTCTAAATATAAAAGATAGATTTGATCAATCAAAAACATTTTGAAAATCATGTTTATATTTAATACTAATTCGAAAATAAAAAACCCTGAATGTAACGAACGCTGGTTATGTTAAATCTTTTAACTAATTTGTCACCTTTATGGGTTTTTTTTGTTTTTAAAGTTTAAAAAAATCCCAAATTATGTCGTTGTTTTAATGTTTAATATTATATTAATATTAATGAATACTAATTGATTAACAAAAAAACTGTAATGAAACAAATGTGTACATTAAAAAGGTGGGAAGGTGCTGGACATTCATTTGTTTTAACAGGTTGCACAACATTTTAATGGATTTTTTTTTTCAGCAAATGAATTTTTTTTCTTTTAAGGAAAAAACTTTTACTAAAAGTTTCCTTTTTAGGTTATATAATTGATCTAAATTGAAATTTAATACAATTCGAATTTAGTAATATTTAAATACAAATATAAAAGTTTCTAACTAATCAGGGATTATTTTTTACCAAATATAGACACTGAATAAAAAAAAGATTTTTTTATTTACATTATTAATAAACATATCGTTTGGCATAATAAAGATGATCCAGTTATAATTATTAATATGTGTCATTAATTATTAATAAAAAACAATAATGCGTGAATTTGTAAAATGAAAAGCTTCGGTCAGTGTTCTTTTTCTACAATAAGAATAAATAGTGGTGGTGATGTTTATGATGATTATGATGATTTGTTATTGTAAATTTTTGTTCTCTTTTGAACCATCAAATAAAAATCGGGTTAGGAAATTTAAATAAACAAAAATTTAATGCGCAATGGTTGAATGGATGAATTTTATTATTTATTATTTACTTATTAGATTATTTTGATTATTTTATCGTGAAAATAATGTTATGTGTTTTTTTATATTGCAAACAAACAAATTTTCCTTTTCCAAAACAAATATAAATACAATGCATAATGTAACTAAAATATACAGGAAAAATATATAAATTTTTTCTCAATTCTTTTTTTTAAAAAAGTTTTTTTTATTTCCTTTTTTTTTTTTAAAAAAAATTTGATTCTTGAAGAATCCAAATCTTTGATAATTATATATTATTAGACATAATATTTAGAATATATCGTCATAAAACATGGGCGCAGCAAATACGAAATGTATCTCGGAAAATAGAGTATTATCGAAAAACAAAGCAACTTTTAGAATAAAAAAACAATTTTCAAATTCTTCAAATTCCTCCTCTTCCTCCTCATACAAAAAAACATTAAACTGCTCAGAATGTAAACAACCAACTATAGAAAATAATTTGATGATTGGTGGTGAATGGTGTAATTCTTGTAATGCAAAAAGATTTAGAAACGAATTTTCCAATTGGACAAGTGGCAATTCAACAATAGATAGTCTTATCAAAGAATCACAAATGAACGCTAGAGATCATAATCAAGTGCTGGAATGGATTCCTTATGAAAAACTTTCCAATATCGAATACCTTTCAAAAGGTGGTTTCAGTAATGTTTATTTTGGTAATTGGAAAGATGGTAACCTATTACAATGGGATTGTAAGAAAAAACAATGGATTAGAAGTTCTGACATGGTTGTTACTCTAAAATCTTTAAAATCTTTTGTAAACAACGAAGATGACTTTTTTTCAGAGGTAAATAATTTATTCATTGGATGATGTAAAAAAATTTTTTTTTTAATATTTAAATTTTAATCCTCCTTTATTATTATTATTATTATTACTATTAGTTTCGTTCATATCTTCAAGGAGGATGTGAAACACGTGGTTTAATTCAATGTTATGGATTTACAAAAGACCCAACAACTTCAGAATATATGCTGGTAATGGAACATGCAAGTTATGGAAATTTACGTAATTTTATAGTGGATTATCAAAAAAAGTTGAGATGGGAAACAAAACTAAGAATGTTATTGATGATTTCGATGGCTTTAGAAGATATTCACCAATCAGGTCACACTCATCGTAATTTTCACAGCGGAAACATTTTAATAACCGATGATGCAATAAAAATCGCTGATTTTGGTTTACACGGTCCATTCGACTTGGAACAACACAACAAGAAAAAACTTTACGGTGTTTTACCTTATGTTGCTCCTGAAATACTACGTGGTGACACTTTTACTCCTGCCGCTGATGTTTACAGTTTGGCAATGATAATGTGCGAGGTTTCATCTGGACTACCACCATTTCATGATAAACCACACGATGGAAAATTAGCTAAAGATATTTGTGCTGGTATCAGACCAACTTTAACTAGAAACGCACCAAAGTCCTTTATAGTGTTGATGGAAAGATGTTGGGATGCTGATCCGTTAAATAGACCAACTATGCAAGAAATAACCGGAATGTTATTCCGTTGGCATTTCAATCTAGAGCAAAAACGTTCTTTAGAAGTTTGCACGACGTTCCGTGCCTCTGATTTCATAAATAAAAACAACAATAATGGCACAGAAAAGAATGAGGGGGGAAAGGATAAGGGAGAAGTTTTATTTCATCGTAGAGCTTACTACATCTCTAAACCACTTGATTTTAAAAATCTTCCTGAACCAACAAACTATTATAATAGAACTTTTATTAATGGTGTTAATAATAATAATAATCTTGACAATTATAGTAAGTTATTATTATTATTAATCTATATTTTATCATTATTAATTCTTTTTATTATTGATCATCATCTAATTACCATTTTTTTCTTTTTTTTATTGTAGATTTACGTCCTAATCTAAAAACAGGTTCAGATACATCATTACATCGACAAAAATCAGCTGATACATATAAATCCAATGGTAATCATAATAATATTTTTACTTTATATAATTAAATTTTTTTTTTGAAACACTCCTTAATGTTTATTTCTTTGTTACTTGTTTTTAGAATCCTTTATACATCATAACGTGAATCTTGAACAATTACGAACACCTTCGATGATCGAATCTGGTCGTACAGCGATCTATACAGATTTACTAAAAAGGAAACAAAAAGCTGCAGATCGATTCTTTTTTTATATTGAGCCTGATAACTCAGCCGCTACTATAATAGAATGTGAATTATCGCCAAAAAAGTTTGACGACGATAAACAAGATATTATTAATGAAAAACATTACACTGATTACGATGACTATAATGACAATTATGAAGATTATGAAGATCCATTGATGGATGGTAAGTTGAAATTTTTATTTTTTTTTCATTTTTTTTTCCCAGATTTTTTTGAAAATTAAAAATTTTTTTTTAATTTTTGCAGGTAGAAACAAAATTTACACAACTCAACAACCATTTGTTCACAATAATCAAATTATATATTATAAAATATAAACAATAAGATTTTTTTTTTGGTTAAAGAAATATTAATTTTCTATTGTAAATAATATTTTTTTTTTTGAAAGTAATTAAAAATTAATATAATTTTTTTATAATAATAATAAGTATAAATATTATTTATTTATTAATACAAGTATATATATATATATATATGTATATATATATGTATATATACACACACACAATTAAATAAATTTCATTGAACAAAAAATAAACTAGCAATTTTCATGTTGGTGTGTTACCTTTTAACATATACAGCGACGTTGGAAGCTTCCAATGGAAATTTTTGGAAGGCTTGAAAGTCACAGGCCTTCTAATAGTTTATGTGCCAATAAAATTCAAAATAATTAAAAATTAATTTTTATCAAATTTTCCCATTTTTTGACTGTTTTCAAAATGGAACCTTTTTTATTTAAGGTGTTGATTATTGCTATATAATAATTGCTGATTACAGAAAAGTCTTTCATTCATATATTTTGATTTTTACTAAACTGATGGGAAGCATGGAAAGGTGAATCGACAGATAATTAAATCGAGGAAAACAAAAAAATAAATAATTAGTTTAATTATTGTTTATTTCTCAAAACCAATTATAACGAAACCAAAAACCATCATCTGACAAAGATATATGTTAATGCTGTTTGCATGAAAAGGTTAGACTACGTTTTGCAAACAGAAAGCCACAATCATTTGAAATCGCGTCAGTTATTGGTTACGTAATTAATTTTTGGTTGGACAGTAGTATTGATGACATAATATGCCTTCCAACCTTCTAAATGCTTCTATAATTGGAAGATTAGAAGTTCCAATCTTGGTGACGGTTCTGTTTCCTGTTGGCCAATAAAATTAGCTTTGATAGTGTAACAAGGAACAGGATCCAATTTTATAAGCGATAGGCGTATAAATGCTAATTTTTTCATAAAAAAAATAGAGTTGTGTTCATAACTATATCTTACCAACTGCACTCGGAAACAATTGTGTCGTTCGTTTTACGGCGTTTAATGATCGTGGAAACCCCTTTTTCAACGAGAACTTACCGAGTTTACAGAAGCATTATTTAACTATCATGTTCACGTCGTCTTAGGACCTCCCAGCACTGGGAAAACCTCTTTGGTCTACAAAGTAGTGAGTAGGGTTAATTTCAATCCTCTGTTTGTTGACCTCCGTGGTGGATAATTTAACGCACCAACGAATTTGTACTATTCACTTTTGAACGAAATAAGGATTGTTTTTCAGAAATTTCTACAAACACTTTATCAGCCAATTTAAATCTAAAATCACAAGCTTCCGAAAGAACCGCTAAAGGTATCATTGAGTTACTTAATATTTATAATCGCATTCCTTTCGGGAATTTTAGTCATTGACGAGGTAAACAAGTTCAGCCAACTTGATAGTGCAATTATTCTCGAGTCATTTTTTGATTTGCTGGTGAAAAATACGAAACGAGAGGAACACTTTTATGTAGTGCTTACCACTTCAAATTCATTCTTTTTTAAAAAAAAGTAAGTTTCTTTGGTGGTCATACTTGTACATTTGTTACTTATGGTGGTTGCATGTTTCGCGCGTAACCCCTATATGCTGTTGGTGATTTAAACAAGGAGAAAGCTGAGGAATTCTTCGAAAAGCATATGCTTCCCAACATGATGCATTTTTTATTGAACCTTCAAGTTATAATCTATTTGTTTTTATATATTGTGGTACTTATATGATGGTATTCGTTGCCTGAAACAGAATCTGAGGTTCATAAAGAACTCGAAGGCCGATTTGATCATGTCTACAGAGACACATGCTTAAAAATTTAAAAATGAAAATCGTAAACTAAAAAATATTTGTACAAACGTGACTCTAAAAAAAAAAATCCAACTTCCTTATTATCTATTTGATATTTTTCCTTTTTAAGATATGCGAGAATCAGGTTATAAAATATGATTAATAAAAGAAGCGTGGGATATAGCCAGATTATAATAGCTCGTTTTATTTTTATGATTACATATTTTTAATATTATGTGATATATATAACCAAAAAAGAAAAAACATTGAACTTTAAGATGAAGAAATGTTGAAAAAAATATTTCAGAAATTTCTTTTCTTTTTCTTTCGTAGTGAAGATTTTTTATTGCCAAAGTCACCAACAGCAGTTTCACATATAAAAGTAATTACTCAACATACAAGAAACATCAGGGAAAAATTTTAATGTAGGATTTACACAAATATACATAAATTTATTATAATGTAATATTATTGTTTGTTTCTATTAATCGCGTAACAATGATATGTTTAACCATAAATCTATTTTTTGAAGAAGACGAACGTTACAATAAGAATATATCATTGATAGTACGCGTATCTATTTTTTTGAAGACAAATATTGGCACAATGTTATTATTATATACAGTGTGTTACGAAAATAATTGCGCCGTAAATTTGTTAATCCCAAAAGCCACATTATAAAAATTGGGTCAAGATTTTAAAACTATTTATTAAATATATAAAAATTTTGAAGCATATTATTATGTAGGTTTTATAGTAATGATTAAAATTTTTCTTTTCAAAAGTAATCGAATTTCTTTTATTTTTAACTGATGGAGTTCTAGAAAACATGGATACATATAATTTTATATCCATAATCCTGAATTGATATATATTTTTTGTATAATTTTGTGTGTTTTTGTGTCAAAGCAATTGTTAAAAAAATTCCATGTTAAAATTTCAGAGACAAAAATTTAAAAGAAGTTTAAAAAAGCAATATTATTTTGTATCGAGTTAAATAAAGTAATTAATTGATTTGACTTTCAAATGAATCTAATTTTTTATTATTATTATCGATTTTTTGTGTGCTCGTAACACACTGTACGATAAGAATATCCATTAATAATTTGTTTATCCAATAGATCCATTTTTTGAACAAATATTGATCGACACAATGTTATTTGGTAACAATGATTTCATCGTTTACCATAACTATTTTTTGAAGATAAATATTATTATTATATACAATAAGAATTATCATTAATAATATTATCATTCATTACTTACTACCATTAGTTAGTTGATATTGATTTTTTTTTTGGTGAACACATAACAATGATTCGTTTAATCAACTATAAGAAGACAACAAATATACGATAGTATTACCTATTACCTACCATTAGTAGATGGCGCGTAACAATAGATTCGTTTTTGGAGAAAATACAATGTTAGAAATCTGTATTGCTTTAATAAAATTCTTTTTTAGTTAATAGATAAAATGAAATAAACCAACAATTCTAATTATATTACCTTTTATTTTTTAGATATAATCTGGATCAGTAATGATAACAATAATAACGATAATGTAATAAATCTATCATCGAGCCTAACTAACTCTCACGTTTGGGCAGTCTTGGAACCCATAGTACCTTTAAAGAAGAGGTGTTGGCAAAAAAACATAATGTTTAATTAAAATGAAACTCAAATTAGCTTCTCTTTCAATTTGGGAACCAAAATTTTTTGGATTAAAGGGTGTCATTATTCTATTTGAAGGTTTACAAAGTAAGAAGTAAAGACATTATTTTATTATATAGTATGGCTGAATTTTATGAATTTAAGAGAGGGCAGTGAAATCTTAGTGTTTGGTTAAAAAAAAAAAATAACAAAACAAATAGATAACTAAAAAAAAAAAAAGCATGTCTTCCATTTTTTTATCTACATGGTTCATCAAGACTGAGACCGTCTCTTCCACGGAAATTGTAATAAGTGGAAGTGTCCTGTATAAAACAAGCTCGACCACATTCGGGAGGTCCAGTACAAAGAATTTTTTAACGAATATAACGCGGTCGACTACATGAAGAATACGCTGTTCTATCTTGTAGGTTGACGTATGCATCACAATATGGAATATATATTAGTATGTATAATAAATTTTGTACATCTTTTTTTTATTCGTCGCCACATAGAATAAATAAATAATAAAAAAACCCCTTTTTAGATTTATTTCCCTCTTCAAACGATTATCATTGACGACGATAACGTAAAACCATAATAATAAGGCATAAAATACTATGACCCTTTATTTTTATTGTTGGGATCGGCTACTTCGCATGCACAAGACACGGGAAAAAAACAAACGAAACCTTTACAATCAAATCACAAGGAACAAAAATATACAGACTAAAGTATTTGTAACATACCAAAATATGAAAACTTGCATATTCTCGGTTTTAACTTCAATTTCTTGTAAATTTTGCGGGAATTCAGTTAGATCAAATAATAAAATAAATAATAACAATTAATTAAATTATATATATATAAATATCAGTTCACAAATTCAAAAAATATTACTTTTTTTCGCAATGTTTTTTCTGATGAACTTTTTCAAATAAGATATCTTTTTATCACACTAAAGCTTTTGGAAAGTATTCGATAATGGATAAATTTGTGAAAATAAAGAAAAAAGTAATTGAGGATCCAAACAGGTAGCAACTACACAAAAGCGAAAAAATAAGGAAATAACCAGACAAGAATTAAATAAAAAATTACGTGAAGATTTTGATCCAAATTGGTTACGACTTTACCCTTGGCTTGAAAAAAGTGAAGATCGTAATATAAAGGTGACAATGTTTTTGCAGCTGGTGTAAAAATGCAAAAAAGAAAAATATTTTTACAACAGGTTAATGATGTATGGAGAAACTTTGACTTTAGTCATTAACGTAACTAAAGTACTGACTAAAGGTAGTTTCTCGCCGGGCCATCTGACGATTTGACTAAAGTAAAAGTCCTTGTCG